ATGAAGGAGCATCAGCACAAATAGTCAACATTCAGGTATAAGGGAGCGTAAGGACGTTGAGTGTCTGATGGTGGTGGTCACTTGCCAGGGTTCTACTTCTAGGCAACGGGATAAGAACTTGGGGAAGTGAAGCATCAGTGGAAGACTGATGAGGAGGAGATAGAACTTGAGTTTCACAAATGTTAAGTTCTATTAAAGGTCAAATTCTATCATAGTAATAAATACTATTATAATGGAGAAGTTGAGCTATACATGGAAACAATTTTTTAAGTCTTGCCTGATGTGTGCCTCCTTTCCAGAAATGATTGATATTGCAAATTTACATGTGACCAATATATTTAGGTCATCCCTTGGAATTTATTTTTGGGGGGATTTAATTGGTTTTCTATTATGCTAATCTTATCAAATGAAACTGGTTAGATTATTTTGAAATTTTGTATCCTAAGTGGCTATTTACACTGGCCACTTCCTTTTTTTTTTTTGTACTGATAATAGCAACTTTTAAATTCTTCTTCAAAAAAATGGCATACAGAATAATTTCACAATGCTGCATCTCTCCAGATACTTTTATATTTTATGTTCACGAGCAAATTAGTTTGATTTGAATACATCAGAAAGGGCTCCAGACATTAACTTAGACAACCCTTGCCTTTTTTCATAACTTATCTTTTGATCAGTCTCAGAAGGACCAAATAGCCACAGAGATACTTTCATGAATGACTTCAAGGAGTTAGTGGCTGCTAAAGGGTTAACTGGGGCCACACCTCTTAGATATCACTTGCAATTGATAAGGACTTCAGGTGCCTTAACTGGAAGGAATGGATAATATGGACATTTTATTGGCAATGCTAGTGAGAGAAATGTGTGTGGCAGGAAGGCATTTGGTGTCTTTAAATTAAATCACACAAGAACAACATTTATAAATTACATTAAGGAATTTAGATCTTATTCTCAATAGTACGCCTCCCAACCAAAATAGGAAGCAATGTAAGGTCCTAGAGTGACCTTTCTAAAATCTAATCTCTGTACTGTCGGGGAAATAGTAAGGAGAAGAGAGTAGAAGTCCAGAAGCAGAAGAGTGGCAGTGAGGAGGGAATAATGTGGTAGATATTAGCAGATAGAATTGATAGGCCTTGGTTATCAATTGGCTGCAGAGGTTGAGGGAGAAGTGAAGGATGCTACTCAGCGTACAGATTTGGAAAACACGGTGGATGGTTGCATAGTTTGCTGAGACAGCAAAGGCAAAAGAGAGGCAGGTTTGGAAAGAAAGATGGCAAGTTCCATTTGTGATGTGCTGAATTTGTATCCAAATGGAGATTTCTGGTGAACTCAGTCCTGGAGCTCGGGAGAATAGATGTCATGGGCATAGATGTGGTAACTGAAGCCAAAGGAATGGATAGGATCAAAGACAGCAGTGAATCAACAATGAATACAGGTGAACACACAGGTGCTGAGCACTGCTGTCATCAGCCCTGTCTGGTTTGGAGTTTCTCCTGGTATAAGTTTTTTTTGGGAAGAATCACTCCCAAGGTCAGGGAATAAATCAGTGTCATTGGGCTATCATTTGATATTTGAGTTGGAAGAGATTCTTAAGGTCAAGTGGCTGATTAAAGATAGCCATAAATGTCTTGACATTCTTTCCATCTGTAAGTGGAGTGCATTTCTTGCCCTCCCACCTCCTATTTCTGGGAGGGCTCCGAGGATGCTTTCACCAATCCAGTATGGCAGAAGTGACCCTGAGCCAGTACCCAGGCCCAGGCATCAAGAGACTGGCAGCTTCCCAATTCCTGTTGTTTGGAGTATTGCTGTTGGTGCCCAAGCCACCATTGAGAAATCTGACTACTCTGCTGGAGAGACTATGTGGCCCTTAGACTCATGTAGAGAGAGGGACCCAGCTGAGCCTGGCCTTCCAGCTGTCTCACCAGGGCACCAGATGTTTGCGTGAAGCTCTCTTGAGCCTCCAAACCAGCTACCAGCTGAATACCACAGAGCAATTCCTGTGGTCCCAGTCAGCAGTCGCCATATGGAGCAGAAGGATCTGAGCTCTGCCTGAATTCATGCCCCACTAAGTTGTGAAATACAACAAAATATTTGTTGTTTTAAGTCACTGAGTGTTGAGTTGTTTACTCAGCAAAAGAGAAGGGAAACAGTTGTTTGTACCATATTCCCTCATAATCCAATTTTGTAAAACGTTATATTATTAGCTCTGTCCTCTGTTAAGCCAAAAGGACCTATATGATGTATTCAAACCTGTGTTTCTATCTGTAAATCAAGAATAATAATACCTGTCATCCCTGCATCTCAGAATTATTTTAGGGCTCAAGTGAGATAATATATGTGAATGCACTTCATAAATTATAAAGCACTCTACAAATATAGATGAATTTAAATAGAATTGTAAAGCACTCTACATTCTTTAAGTTTAATTTAAATATTTGTTTAATTTAAATAGAATAAATAGAATTTCATTGTAAAACGAAAGTTTTAAACGAACGAAGTTTGAAAACTGTTAAATGCACAATGTTAATTAGAGTACTTACGATTTTAAGTTACATTAAGATTAATCAGAATTATTTTAACTTTCCATAAGTTGACTCAGAAGCTTTTTATTAGTTGTTGTTGTTGTTGTTGTTGTTTTGCTTGTTTAGTATTTTGATTCTTTGCAAAAGGATGGAAGTTCATTTTCACCTCTTCATTCACCTTGTGTTGGTCTAAAGAGCTTTATTTACTTAAGGAAATTGAACAGATTTATTTTGGTCAAGAACAAGGAGTAGATTTGTATCCAAATACACAGCAGGTACACACTTCTTTGGATGGCTTGGTTCCAGCTACAGATGAGTAGCTTTTAAACATTTGTCACATTACCTCATTAGTAAATTGAATTACAAAATTAGCATCAGTTGCTCAGCAATCTGGTGATCTAGTACCAGTTGTCTTCAGGGTAATTGAATTAATTTGTGTAATTTAAATGAACACCAATCTTGCAATTTTCCCATCACGATGCCTTTGAAAAAGTGGGTGGATGGAGAGTTCAAGCTGAATTGTGATCCTTCACAGGAACATAGCGAGGGATGCTTTCTAGTGTTTATCTTTAGTTGTTTGACACATGACTGTATTAGCCAGTTCGAAGTAACAGCAAAATAAAGTCAGGTGTGACGTGGGGATCAGCCACGGTAGTTCTTGGGGCTGTAAGATTTTTCTGCTTTGGCACTACTGACCGTTTTGGGTCAGGTAATTCCCTCTTGCGGAGGCTGTGCTCTGCACTGTAAGATGTTGAGCAGCACCTCTGACCTCTACCCATTAGATGCCAGCAGTAATCCCTGACAATCAAAAATGTCTATAGACATTGCTAAATGTCTCCTAAAGCCCCAAATTGCCCTCGATTGAGAACCATTGCTGTGGACAGTCTAGTGTGTTTCTCATAGTAAGGAGCAAACAAATTTTGCCCCAAACTGCTCGTCACTTCCCATCCCTACCTCCCTAATCCACAGCTTTACACATTAAGTACATTTCTGTTTGATCAGCCCGTCTCTGGTGGTATTTTTATGGGCAATGATCTCTTGTTTATCCCCTTGATATTTGACAATAGGCTTCTCTTCCTTAGCCCCACTTGGAAACTGACATCCACATTTGAAGGTTTTTTTTTTTTTTTAGAAGCCATACTTTAAAAGGTCATAAAACACTTGGCATTAGGTTCTTAGAGTGTGTGATGAATATTTTAATAGTTAAAAATGTAGCCAGGCAGCACAAAGAAATGATTTAATGTTGTAAATAAATCTCTTTGTGGGATTTAATGTGCAAAATGGACAGCAATGGCTTTAAAAAATCATTCCCCAAATGATGAGATCTATACAATGGCACACTCTGTATGTTGGATCCATATCTGGGGAGAGTGTTCACTATATCTTTCTTAGATATTGGAGGAAGACACTAAGATCATTTTCTTTTTTAGGACCTCCATCTCTTTTTCTCAAAACTAGAAGCCCATAAGGTTGACTTTCTGGGAAATAATACTGATACCAGATCTCTGGAGAGTATAGCGTTCATCATGGTCCTCTAGATAGTAATAATAAATAACAACATGGAAGTAGTGCTTGTGATGTGTCAGGCACTTATCTAAGACCTTTACTTGTGTTATACTCAAACAAACTTGCAAACTAAGTCAGGAGTTGACCAGCTCGATATGGCCCAATGGTCAAATGTGGCTACTACTTGTTTTTGTACAGCCTGTGAGCTAAGAATACTGTTTATGTTTTTAAATGGTTGAAAAAAGATCAAAAGAAGGATATTTCTTGACAAGTGAATATGATACAAGATTCAAATGTCAGAGTCCATTCAGCAGGTTTGATTGGGATATGTCCACACCCATTGACTTACATATTATCTGTGGCTGCTTCATGCTACAAGATGGAGCTGAGCAGCTGCAGCTGAGCCCATGGCCTGCAAAGCCTAAGGTATTTTCTGTCTGGCCCTTTGCAGAAAAAGTTCACTGACTCCTGAGCTAGGGACGATCACTGTCCACATTTTACAGAAATGAAAATAAAAGCACAGAAAAACAGTTTGTTCCAAGTCACGTATCAGTTGTGTGGCAGGGTCAGGACTTGAACCCAAATAGCCTGGCTTCAGAGATCATTCAGTCCATTGTGATATCACAATATGGTGACTATAAAACTTGCCAGTACGGAACTCTTGCTAAAAAACAAAAACAACTCCCTGTAATTCAACTCACTTTATTACACTTCGCAGCCAGTTCATCTTTATTTTCGTACTTAGAGTCCCTGAGCAGTGATAGCTGAATGAAGTGCAGAGCCTTTTGCACTCCTTAGGCTGTGTATATATTCCCTTCAAAATTTCTAAGGATGAGTGTTTATAATTTTCCTTTTATCTAGGGGGATCCTGCCATAAAAGGAAGCACCCCCGAGGTGCAGTGAACAGAGGGCTGGAACTAAGGCGAATAGCTGGCTTCCTGTTACAAAGGAACTAGTGAGGAAGGAGGAAATACCAAGGACAGAAGGACGATTTCTAGGTCTGCTGTAATGGACGTTTCAATGTCTATGTAGAACAGTTAGGAACTTAAAGAAAAAAAAAATTCATCCAACAGCTTGGCCCAGAATTGGCCTTGCTTCATTCAATTTATCCATTTTAGAAGATGAAAGGCTACGTTGTCTGCCAGGATTTAGCGTCCAGTCCCGGGGAACCATTGTGCTTCTAATCTGATGTTTGGGCCATGACGCCAACCCCTCTGCCTGCCGGTCAAGGTCAGTTCCTCTTTTTGTTATGTTGTTAAAAGGCCCCCGACAAGGACTGGTTTCGGATAGCATTTGGCTCCATAGGGGACCAACTCACAGTCCTTGGTTTTATTTTTTTCTGGCCTTTAGAGAGGAGTTTGTTCCTAGTAGCAGAGGACTGTAATAATCCTCATTTTTAAAAACACCTCTGCAAAAATTGAGTACGGAATGTTCTAGATCCTGACTGGGGTGGTGGTTGCATGGGTGTATACATTTGTCAAGGCTCATCCAACTGTATACATAAGATCTGAGCATTTTACCTCAATTAAAAGGGCATGAGAGGGGAAAAAGACGACATGAAAACCAGATAGGAAAAAAAGAAGAATGAGAGTAGTTAATTAGAGTACCTGTCTGAGGCTGTGTAAACCTAGAATTACTCTCTAGTAATCACTTCTAATTCTTTAGATTTCTTCAATTTCAGATCAAGGAATCCCCTTGTGGGAGGCTTACATTCATTCCCCCTAATTTGTATTCTCCATTCCTTTGAAAGCAGCCATTCTAAGGCCACATAAGGATAACTGATATTTATCCCTATAAATAGTTAGTGTCAGAAAGGTAATCTTTCTCTGCATGTCTCTTTATTATGTCACACTGGACTTAGAATTAAATAAAGGTAGAAAATCTATCTACTTGAGGTGGGGGCACTGAATGAATTTGGCCTTTATTTCCTGAAACTTGTAAGGAAAGTGAAAGTGTAAAGATAAGAAATATGACTTTACAATAAAAAAGTCTTGGGTTGCAATCGTTCATCATGCCTCTGATACAGAATTTCCAGTCTTAGATATAAATATTTCAGGATCAAGATGCTTTCATCTTTCTCTGCCTTGCAAGAAGGGAAGATTGGAAACAATCTTCCTTAAAGTAAGCAGCTTTAATCATTGTTTCTAAATCAACTGAACTGTGCAGGGAAAAAAAAGAAGATGTAAGAATCCTATAATCCCTGGTTTAGTTGTAATGAAAATGTCCAGGCTGAGAAGGGAACAGATGGATTTTGATTAATTTCTACTAAGACCAGCAAGTATCAACCTCAATATTCTTTATAAACTTGTCAGGGTAAATGTTATATAGTCATAAGAGAATGAAGAAAAAAAGACTTAAAATAAGATTTATAACTGGGTTATGAATAAAGAGGATATACTTAAAAACACGATCCTTAGCGGCATGTCAAAAATGCAGATTCACCGAATCTCGGCAATTTTTTTCAGAGATGCTTTCAGATTTGTTCCTTTAAAAAAAGATTGCTATTTCTAAGGAGAGGACTTGTACCCGTTGCCCCAGGTGTATCCAGTGCAGTGGGCCACCACATACCCACTGCAAAGGCTTAACAGTAAGAAGAATGCAAACAAGATTCAGAGAGCTGAGAAGCTGCACCCTGGATTCGACATTTATGATTCCAGGATGATAATTGAAAACAAAGATGAACTTTACCAGGATATAATTGGGAATGAACTTAGACAATTCAGTTGCCACAGTTCATGAGTTTTATGGTTGATATTTAGGGTGCTGAGGGGCAAACTCTCGGCTTCCCTGTCCTTTGCAGAGCCTCCCCATTCCTCCAGTCAATGAGAGAACTAACTGGGAAGAAGTGCAGAAAAATCCAGGGGCTTAGGGATTTAAATTCGGCGTTAACTTGCAATTAGAAATGAAGTTTTTAAAAAGGCAAAGAAAGAATCTCAAGTAGTATCTGTCCCACATTTGGTTAGAGTATGAGGTGTTTACCTCCAACGGAAAATCAGTAACTGCTGGTTTTAGATTTAAAAGTACGGCTGCTGTCTAGCTTTGTCTTCTTCCTTGTGTAATTTCACATTTTCTGTTACTTTCTGCCTGGTCTATGAGATGGTCACAGATTGAGAGGGTGAACAAATAGAATCCTAAATATAACCTTCAATATCATTGATACTTAACAAATTGCCGATTAAAAGCAGTATGCATCATCCAAAAACTTCTCAGATCTCATTTAAAAACAAAACAAATTGCAACTGAGAACAAAAATGTGATCTTTCTTAAAAACAGGAAAAGGATCTTTTTGAGCGGCGAACATATGGAAAATGTTCTCTCCTTCTCAGGTATAGAGTGGCGTATTAACATAGAGGATATAGAGAATTATTAATGAACTATGTGATTGTTGTGCCTCCCATCACTGGAATGTGGTGAGTAGTAAATGAATTAGGCATTAATTCAACAGTAGATACACCCGTTTTTTCCTGTTATCTTGTCATCATAGCTGTGACTGGGAAATAGGATCTGCTTAGGGACAAGAATGCTGGGCTCGCTGTAATGGAAACAGGCTGTTTGGGAAATCTGATCCAAGGATTATGATTTTAACTTGATAGTAGCCCACCTTCCGGGGAGCTCCTGTTTATTTTCTGTCAGTTTGGCCTGTCATTAAGAGGATGCATCTGTTAGAGGGGCCTCCCGTAGAAAATAACTGGGGCCAACTTCTCCATTAGGCAAAGTAGGCACAGTGCCTAGGGCCCATGGAATATTTTAATTTCTTTTGAAATTGGAAAAAAAATGATTATAATCCAGTCTGGATAACGTGTCTTTATATCAACACAATCATAAAATATAATTTTCAATGGCTTTAAAATGTTGTTTTTTTAATTTTTAATTTTCAATAGCTTTTTGATAGAGAAAGGAGGTCATGTAAGTAGGAGTGCCAAGGGCCTGCAGCAGCCATGATGTAGGCCTGGAAACTGACGGCAAACTCCAAGATTTTAATGGAAGGGAATGATGCAAAGGGGCTCTTTGCAAAGGTATGGCTTGAGTGAAGAAAACCAGGAGGGGGCAGCAAAGCCCTTAGGGGTTAGAAATCATGGGAAGCTGTCACCACCTGTGGGCCTGAAGCCACAAAGGAAGGCACCTCATTGGCCAAACCCAATCAGAAACTAGAAGCGAGGGAATCTAGAGGTTCAGTCCATCACCTCCAGAGGACACAGAGCCAAGCAGAAGCACAGTCAAGGGCATAAAATACATTAGAGTTGGGAGATGGAGTTGTCAGCAAAGAGTAACCAATTCAAGGATACATATTCCAAGTATTTCCTGTCTCTGGAATTTTATTTTATATTTTTGATGGAGTTTTTGCTCTGTTGCCCAGGGTGGAGTGCAGTGGCATAATCTCAGCTCACTGCAACCTCCACCTCCTGGGTTCAAGTGATTCTCCTGCCTCAGCCACCCGAGTAGCTGGGATTACAGGCACCTGCCACCATGCCCAGCTAATTTTCGTATTTTTAGTAGAGATGAGGTTTCATCATGTTGGCCAGGCTGATCCAGAACCCTTGACCTCAGGTGATCTGCCTGCCTCTACTTCCCAAAGGATTACACACATGAGCTACCATGCCCAGCCCTGTCTCTGGAATTTTTGAGTAGGTGAAACTGCCTTTGTGAAGGATTAGTAGGATTCATGCATGAATTATAAAAGTAGAAACTTATTTTCACTTTCAAAAAGAAAAAAAAAACAACCAGATTTGAGAGGATGGTACCCATCAGGGGGCAAAGGGCCCAGTGCTTTATTTTTAAAGAATAATAAAAAAAAAATGCTTTATTTTTAAAGAGACTGTCCTGTAGGGGCTGTGTTTCCTAGCCTTTTACAATCGAGGCTCAACCTTCCTTTCTAACCCAATGAGGAGATGGTTGGAGAATTGGTCAAGAAAAGCCTTCTGAACCAGACTACCTGACCCAGCTCCATTATTAAATAGCTGTATGACCTCAGTTTCTGTATCTGTAAAAAAAAAGAATAATAATGGTACATGCTTCCTAGGATGGTGGGGAGGATTAAATGAAATAATAGTAGCAAATATTTATATAGTTCTTATTATGAACTAAGCACTATTCTAAGCATATTATGTATGTTAACTCATTTTAACCACACAGAAAAACAAAGATTAAAACCTGAAGAGAGAGCAGTTTGGGATGGTATTATTTGGGTAACAGAATATGGCTGTGCTTGAAACTAAACTGCCCTGGGTTTTTCATATATGTGAATCAACAAATAATCCCTTATTTTTTGGAGAGTCTCTAAGCCAGTAACACTGGATTTCTGTTTTTGCAACCAAGACAGTTCTAATAAAAGAGATAACAGATGTAGATATGTATATTGATGTGGTTTGACTCTGTCCCCACCCAAATCTGCTGTCCCCTTGTAATTCCCAGTGTTGAGGGAGGGACCTGATGGGAGGTGACTAAATCATGGAGGTGGATTTCCCACTTGCCGTTCTTGTGATAATGAGTTCTCAATAGATCTTCTTGTTTGAAAGTGTGTAGCACCTTGGCACACTCTCTCTCTCCTCCTCTGCCGTGGTAAGAGATGCTTACTTCCCCTTCATCTTTCACCATGATTTTAAGTTTCCTGAGACCTCCCAGCCATGCTTACCGTACAGCTTGCAGAACTGAGAGTTAATTAAACCTCTTTTCTTTATGAATTGCCCAGTCTCAGGTAGTTCTTTATAGCAATGTGAGAATGGACTAATACATATACGTATTTTTCACTGTAGTTGGGTTCATCACAGCAGTTCTGATCCCATCCTTCTTTGCAGTTCTTGTAGTTATCCCAGCCTTTTCAGATTGAATGAAAGATGATGATAAAAACTACACTGGCTCAAATTCATAGGTAATGTTGTTAAACTTGTCTTTTATTCTCTCTCTCTTTTTTTTTTTTTGACACAGAGTTTTGCTCTGTTGCCCAGCCTGGGGTGTAGTGGTACCATCTTGGCTCACTGCAACCTCTACCTCCTGGGTTCAAGCAATTCTCCTGCCTTGGCCTCCCAAGGTGCTGGGGTTACTGCGTGAGCCACAGCACCCGGCCTAGTAATGTTGTTAAACTTTTGTAGACTTTGCTATAGGGAGTCTCTCGTTAGAAAAACTAATAAAAGTGATTTCAAATTTGTTTAGTACCTATGATGCCAGGTGATTTTATGCATTTTTTTTCAACCATGAGGGAAGTTTTAATACTATTCCCACTTTGTAAAGGA